ATCTACTCACATTTTTACATGCTACCCGCAGCGCAACCACGTCCCTGCAAAGGTGAGGTCTAACTGGTGCTAAACAGAGGGGAACTAGTACCTCATGGGATTTGGAGACTATCCTGTTAATACATCTTAAAATGACATTTGCCTTTTTTTGAAGTCACGTCACACTTTTGGCTCATATTCAGCTTTTGAGCTACAACAGTTCTTAGAACCCTCTCACTCATAGTAATAGTATCTTGTAACTGTGCATTTGTGTCCCCCACCCATACCACCAGGTTTAGAACTTTGCATTTATCCCTGTTAAATTTCATTCTGTTACCCAGTACTCAAGCTGATCAAGATCTTTTTGAATTTTGCTTCTGTCTTCCAAGGTATTAGCTATTCCACTGAATTTTGTGTCATCTGCAAATTTGATAAGTATTCCCTGCACTCCCTCTTCCAAGTCATTGATAAAAATGTTGAAGAGCATGACGGCCAGTATTGAGCCTTGGGGGACCCTACTTGTCACCTTTTCCAAGTTTGAAAAGGAGCCATGGATATGTACTCTGTGAGTATGATTCTGTAACCAATTGTGTATCCATCTGACACTTGTTTTATCCAACACACAACTAGTTAGCTCGCTAATCAGAATACCATGGCACACATTGTCAAAAGCATTGCTGAAGTCAAGATATATTACATCTTTTTACATTCCCACCATCTACCAGAGAGATTACCTGATCCAAAAATGAGAGGAGATTAGTCTGGGAGGATTTGTTCTTAACATGTTGGCTTCTAGTTATTACTGCATTGTTTTCAGAATGACTGCTTTATAATCTGCTCCAATATTCTGCTCCAGAATTATCTCTGGGATTGATGTCAGGCTGACCAATCTGCAGATCCCCTGATTCTTCCTTTTTGAAGACTGGGACATTGTTAGTTCTCTTCCAGTCCTCTGGTACTTCACTTGTCCTCTATGATTTCAAGAAAATAATTGATAGCGGTTCTGTGATCTCTTCCGCCAGTTCCTTGGAAGGAGAAA